ACTTAAAGAGCTCCTACCATAATTTTTTTTTATGCCTTATACTTCATGGGGGATAATTATTAATCATGGTGGGTGTAGTAGAAAGAATACTGGATTGGAAGTAAATAGAACTGGCTTCAAGTTCTGACTCTTATTTACTACAATGTGACCTTAGGCAAATCCCTTCACCCTTCTAAGTCTATGTCCTCATTTTTAAATGAGTGAGCTGGTTTAGATGACCTCTAAGGTCTCTTCCACCTCTAACTCCTATTATCTTAAAAATTATAGTATTTTCCAAATTAATAATGCTAATATACTCAAATGCTCAAAATGGATATGTGATTTCATTGATTAAGGAGTTATCTCCAATGGCGCCACTCACAACCCATCTATTCCAGCTCATCCTGTGGGACTCTTAACCAGGTCTTCCCAAAAGTTCCCTACCATGAAAGGGTAGAAGGGGGTCCATCTAAAATGTTGAAGGTATCTCTAAATTCCTTCTGATATAAGGACACCAAGAACCAGCCCATCTTCTTTTCTTTCGGTAATTCTTTGATGATTAATACTAATACATTAGCTTTAAAATGCAGACACTTCTAAGCCATCCCTTGGTGGATTGTCTGCATTGTGGCTTATCTGAGGCAAACCCAGCTTTCAAGTTTATCAGTACTCTAATTCCTCTGCTTATATCTTAGCTCTCTTTCTAATTACCCCTATTTTATATGCAGCATGCATTTCAAATTCTATTAAGCAATAAATATAAATAAGTGCCCCAGTGGAGTATTTGTGGGAGGACAACAGAGATAAAGAAGTATGAATAGGTAATGTTCTGCATGTTTAGAAAAGAGTATTCATAACAATAAGATTGCAGATTATAAATGTAAGGTACAGTTGTTATTGATACTATGGAATAATGATACCAATATAAAACAATGTGCCTTAATGGATAGTTTTGCCCAAAATCTTCCTCCCACTCCTACATACCCTATTACTGTGAGGGCAACATCATCCTCCTAGTCCCTCAGGCTAACATCCTAGGGGTCATCCTAGACTCCTCAATATCTTTCATTCCCCCACATTCAAGATGTTGCCAAGGCTTGTGGATTTCACCTTTGCAACAGCTCTCAAATATGGCCCTTCTGTTCCTCTGATACTGCCACTACTCTAATGCAGACCCTCAATCACCTCATGCCTGGATTATTACAACAGCCTGCTGGTCAGTCTGCCTGCCTCAAGTGTCTCCCCATTCCAATCCATCCTCCATTCTGTCACTAAATAATTTTCCTAAAACACAGGAACCCAATAAATTCCAATGGCTTCCTATTGCCTCCGGGAGTAAATAAAAAATGATCTGTTTGGCATTCACAGCTATCTAGAATCTAGGCCCCTCCTGCTACCTTTCCAGTCTTCTTATACCTTACTCCCCAAGAAGCACTCTTCAGTCCAGTGACACTGGCCTCCTGGCTGTTCTATGAACCAGACACTCCATCTCTTGGCTCCAGGCATTTTCTCTGGCTGTCTCCCACGCCTGAAACTTTCTCTCCTCTGCTCTGACTCCAGACCTCCTAACTAAAATGTCACCTTCTACTAGAAGCCACTCCCAATCCCTCTTAATTCCAGTGCCTCCCCTTGGTCAATTATCTTCTATTTATTCTGTCTATAACTTGCTTTGTATATATTTGTTTGCTTGTTGTCTCTCCCATTACACTGTAAGTTCCTTGAGGGCAAGGTCTCTTGCCTCTTTTTCTATCCCCATAACTTTGCACAACGCCTAGTATGTAGTAGGCACTTAATAAATGTTTATCGAATTGATAGTTGACCTTGGGAGTCTGGAAGATCTGAGTTCAAGTGCTAACACACAATAGCTGTGAAACTGGAGCAAATCAAACCTCTCAGTGCCCCAGGCAACATTCTAAGGCTTTAATTGCAAAATAGTTTCCTTCAGTCACTCCCCAAAACAGAGTTCGTTCTAAGAGACAAATGGATTGGGGCCTGCGTCAATGTTTCTATTTCTCTCAAGCTGGATTAACGTGCATTGCATGGGAGTTACAGTCCAGAACTGAGCTCCCCTAAAGGGGGCCAGTCAAGAACTGACTCATTTTGGGATTTGGTGGTACAGGATTATATGCCCTTCGAAGAGTAGTTGTTCCCAAGGGGTGACAATCAACTCTGATAGGTCAACACACTGGGAAGTAGGCTATATTAAAATGAGGTCTTAAGTACGGGACTTAGGTCGCTTGCTTACTCCTGGTACAATACCTTTTCTTTCTTTTTTTTTTGATGAGGCAATTGTGGGTTAAGTGACTTGCCCAGAGTCACACAGCTAGCGTGTTACGTGTCTGAGGTCAGATTTCAACTCAGATCCTCCTGAATCCAGGGCTGGTACTCTATCCACTGCACCACTTAGCTGCCCAGACAATGCCTTTTCAGCTGGGGCTGATATCATCTCACCACACCATTCTACCTCCAGATAAAGGAAATACCTGTTCTAGCACACCACCACCAGTCCTGGGCTATCTAGGCAGAAGAATCTGTCTCCACACAAACCTGGCCAGCTTCCAATGCAATCTCATCATCAGTAATGTCCTTCCGAAGAACTTTTCAGAAGGAGGCTGGGGAGAGGGGAGGGGATGGAGCTCTGAGTCTAGAAATCATTTTTCACACTCCCTAAGGAGCATTTCCACACCAAAAGTTCACTCTACCAAGGACATTATAGCTCTGGCCCTCTCTCCCCAAATAATTGTAGAAGTGTTTTGAAACTCAATATCATGAGAGAGGATTTTTAAAAAATCAGTTTTGTTTAACATGATGTGTTGCATTTAAAGGGAGTATTGAGCCTATTCCTACGAAGAGTGAATGACATAAGCAAGGAGGGGTAGGGTGAAGAAGGCAGCAAGAATAATTACTTGGTCCACAATTAAACAAGTTTCCTTAGTTTGGCTTCACTAATTTGTTGAAATTAGCTGCTAGGATAACAAACCTTAGTATAACGCATCCTGACCTCTTTTGGAGGATGTTCTTGGCTAAAACACTGGAGTAGTTTGCCATTTCCTTCTCCAACTCATTTTACAGATGAGGAAACAGGCCAACAAGGTTAAATGACTTGCCCAGAATCACACATCTAGTAAGTGTCTGAGGCCACTTTTGAACCCATGTCTTTTTGATTCCAAGCCTGCGCCATTTTGCTCCATCCACTGCGCCATCTAGCTGCCCCTCAGTTTGAAAGCAGGTGTTATATCAGGAGAGTTGAAACTATTGACTCATCAGAGTTACAAGATGATAGATACAGATTGAAAGGAATAGGCAAAAAAGCATGAAAGCTCAAAGATGGTTGGGACCAGTCTTCTCAACCTTGGGCAGTGGCAGCTTGAAACTATGGAAAAAACACGTAACTCAGCCATCTGCTTCAGCCTACAGGACCTTACGCAAATCCCTTACCTTCTCAGTGCTTCAGTGTCTGACATCTGTCAAATGGAGATAAAATTTCCACATACTAGCTCCTTCACCCAAATATGCCAGAGTAGGTATTTTAACCCAGGTTGTCATCCTCACCTCCAGGTCAGCTCTCATTACCCCTCATTTTTCACAAGAGTAGTTTAAGTGGTCCAGTGGATAGGCCAGGCCTGGAGTCAGGAGAACCCAAGTTCAAATTTGACCTCAGATTCTTACTAGCTGTGTGACCCTGGGCAAGTCACTTAACTCTGTTTGTCTCAGTTTCCTCATCTGTAAAATGAGCTGGAGAAGGAAATGGCCAACCACTCCAGCACCTTTGCCAAGAAAACCCCAAAGAGGGTCACTAAAAGTCAGACACAACTAAACTAAACAAGAGCATATTTGAATTCCAGCTGTTTGTTGATGGCACCAGTCTCTGGCTCTGCCCAGTGAACACTGAGCAATGACTCCACAAATCTGACTCACGTAAAACTGAAGCTGATTATTTTAAAAGCCCAAACTAAGCTTCGTTACTGTTGACTTGTTGTAGTTATTGTTTAGAGAACCGTCTCAATCCTCTTTTGCAAACTTAGTTTTAGATGGTTATGGGTGAAAAGATACATCTAAGACTTCCAACCCCCTGGGTCTCTTTACTAACCTTTCTTTCTTGCTTTTCTTCATGTAGTTCCTTTCTTATGATTCACTAGCAGAAAAGTGGCTGCCCCTTTTCTGAATCATTCTTGCCTTGTGAGGTGTTGTTTTTTTTTTTAATTCATGGCAGTAGACATAATGTAATTTCTACTATCAGGCTTGCTTACCCATAAATTTTCTGAAAATGTATTCTTCTCTTTAAGTATTCATGGAGATGAATCCTCTTGGGATGAATGATGGTGTTGCTTCAAGCTGTAGCACATCTGTCATATATGGTCCTCTACTATGACCAAATCATCTCTCGTATTTTGCTTCTTAATGTGTTAGGGGACTCCACAGCCTGTCATCAGCATTGCTGCCCAGCTTTTTGCAAGCTCTTACATTTGAATGACTAGTTTTTAGGAAGTAACTTGGTCTCTCATTTAATTGTGTGTTTTTCAGTTAATCCTCTATGGAGTACCTCACTGAAACGCTTTCAAAAAGCTATCTAAACTTGCAGAAGTATTTCTGCAGTACTTATCACAGTAGTACTGAGCTGCTTTGACAAATGTGTTATTTTAGTATGAAGGCAAGGCACATAAAAGAAAATGAAGAAAGACACCCTGTCAGAGCTCCTGTTTATGGCTTCATTTGTTGAATTCCACTGATACACAAAAATTATCTCAGAGGAAACTGTTAAGAAATAAGATCTTTACTGTAAGATAGCCCTCCCTTGGTTTATTCAATCATTTTTCAAAACCCCCAAAAAGAGAACAAAAACTGGTCTTGAAAAGCATTTCCTATATACTACAGAACAATGTGGGAGTTAGCTTGTTATTTTCCAGGAAGGAACTGGATCCTATTTTATTCTACTACTGAAAACACTTTGAGGTCAGCTTGAGTCAGCACATGGATGGGGGGGTAGGAAGGAGGGACCAGGAAATAAAAAAACAACAAAGGACAAAGGGTATCTTTATTAGGAAGAATGAAAATGCCTTAAATTCATTTATATAAACAAATGCGCTGTAATTCATCCACTGAAAAAATAGCTAGAACCCATGAGATATGACCCAGAAGGCAATGATTCCATGAATAACCTCTGAACTATTTTTCCCCTGTCACAATTTTCAATCAGCGGTAAGCACACGTTTTACAGCGACTACAGAGTAAAAGACTGGGAAACCAACTAGAAACATCTTGGGCAAATATACATGGATGCTTTTTTAAAACAAGGAACTAGTGCAAAGAGCTTCACGTCCTACAAGACACGACCAGGAACTGACTTCAAAAAGCAGAAAATAAAAATCCATCTTTATTAAGAAATTAAAAAAGACAGAACTCATTATTTACTGAGGGACAAGAATACTATTAAGTTTGCAATATCTCTCAAGGACTGGCTACAATAATTACATTTAAAAATGTGTATTCAAGTATCAATACACACAGTAAACACAAACACTGGCAAATTAAAAAAAGAACACGATGCACAGGAGAGTCAGATCACTAAAAACACTTCATTTGGTTTACATGTTGAAAAACTAAGGCTATGTTAATATGGCAAGCTTTCTCCATAATACTGCATTTTTCTTTATATATATTATTTATCTGTCTAGAGCTAGAATGGATCTCAAGTGATTTGATGGGATGGCAATCTGAATTGACAAGAAAGAGCCCAGTGACTGAAAATTAAGAAACTTGACTCAGGGAAATGAATCCCAATATGAATGTTAGAAATAAACTGGTTTAGTTGAAAAGTTTGATGGTTCAGAAACAGCATCCCTAGATAATAAACTAGCACCAATGCCCATGGGCACTGGTTAATTTCTTACCCAAATATTTGCTTGTTGCCACTTAGATATGCCATGAGCCAACTTGTCACTTTTCTTTAGATAGTATCAATCTTTTGCTTTTCTAAAATCAATATTCCTGCTTTCATTAGCATACAACCCGGCTACAGAAACTGCTTTGAAAACAAAACCAAAAGAAATATGTTGGGTTTTTTTTTTTTAACATCATTAAAGAATGAACACAGTGCTTGGACAGATCTGCATGAAATGAGTGACTTGTGTTTTGAGAAAGTAAGGTTTTATAATTCCATCATAGGAATAATTATTTCCCCAAGTGAGAAGGAAAAGCCAATCAGTAAATAGGATCATTCCTATTCAGATGCTTACACAAAGCAGCACTACCACAGGAGTGCACAGTGTGTGGGTCAGATATGCTGGCACATGTGTATTGGTGTTCCTAGGCTCACCCAGTCCAAGTTCTATGTTACAGCCATGATCACAAATTACAATCTTATTTATTCCAACAGCAGAATAATATGAGGAAAGTAAGTGAGATGGGTTTACCAAAAAGGTATATTAGAGTCTGAAAAGATTTCAGGAAAGAGAGGACTATTAGAAGCATTTTAGAAAAGATTTAAATAAAAAACTGGCATCAATAGTTTTTTTCTAGAGTATCGTTGCTGCTCAGTCTTACATCAAATAACTCTCTCTTGATTTGAGCCTCAATGTCAGGTTTTGATAAAAGTTCCTTTATCTGTTTGACTTTGGACAACACACCCATCCTTTCTCCAAGCAAAGCTTCCTTAATTAAGTCCATGATTATGACAGGTTTCTTGCCTATAGGGGGGAAAAAATCACATATTTTTGCATTTAGTGAATGTCAATGAAAAACATAAAAATACAGCACACTAACTTATCAAAACTGAAATTTTAAAAGCCTTTAAAACAGTCCATATCTTATAGAAAAAGGTAACATTATGTGAAAAAATAGAATTTACATGTTTCTCTTACTGTAAATAACAGTAATGGCAGGGAGGCAAGATGATCAGAAAAACGTCAGAAACATTATATACAGGTCAGTTGTACTGATGGTGATCACTTCCATAATGGCCATGACTAACTTAGCACTAGTTGGCTTTGTAATGGCAGAATTTGCGATTTTTGGCCGCAGAACAAGCAGTCAAAAAACCCTGCTGTTCAGCAAGGCAGATGGCATTATTTCCACTTATGGCAAGGCTTCTTCCATGGCAATAAATGTAGCGTTCATGGCATGGACAAAAGTCTCATCCACCTTTTTCGTCACACAAAGGCATTCTAGCAAACACGGGTAGGCAGAACTCAAGTCTCTCCTTTTTCATAGCTTCATGTCCCCTTATTCCCAGCATTCTATTTGTTTATAAGAATTGCAGACACCTCTGCTAGGACAGTATACTAAGACAGGAGCCGCATCTCAATGAGACACACTTTGACAGCCAGTATCAGGCAAGTCAGTCAACGCAACTTCATGAATCAAAGCTGGGAGATGTAAGCGATGGTCAGTTCTCATTTCCTGTTATTATCACTGTCATTTCTGTCTGAGTGCACGGGCTCTTCAGTTTTCACAGGGCTTCCATCCACCTGCCTAGTTTTGTTTTGTGTTTCTTCTAAATACTGCTGCACAGCCTTGAGGACAGCATTCTCCACCAGCCTCTTGCTGAGCCTCACCAGTTCAGCATCATCTGGTTCTCTTCCATTCTTTTCACCTACATGCCATAATAGATAAGAGAGGTCACTAATTTTGCCACAGAAACCGGGCATGCATAGGTGTGCCTATTGGTTCAATCACTTAAAAATAGATACTGTGCTTCACACAATTAAACTGGATTTTTACATTCCCAGATACCAGTTTTGTTTTTTATTTTGTATTTGGCTTAGCAGAGGCTTGGCTCATTTCTTAAACGGTCAGCTACAAAGCAATTCATTAGTACCCAGTAAATGTTCTACCTAGAAATGCTGGGCATTTCCTATCTCTACCTACAAATGTTCTTTGCATATCCAAAGCCCAGTCACTCTAGACCAAGCCCATCTGCCCACCTGGATGCATTAGTAATCATTTCATTATTTCCTATTAAGAAATTAAAAAATAAAACTTGATTTTTTTTTGTTCCTTGGGTACCTTCTGTACCTCTTCCCTGCCCCTACTCTTCATTGACATGTAACTGAAGTTTCCCAGTATTCTAATCACTTAGGGATATTTATTTAAAATGCTTGTAGATTTGTTTTTGGTTTTGTTTCTTTTTTTTTTTTTAATAAATTCTCAGTGCTTTCAGGTGAAAAAAGTACTTGGCTAAAGTACTGTTAGGTTCTAAATTGGCTCAAGAATCATTGGTTTGTTATGAGCTCCTAAAAGGAAGAGTGTTTTTAATCTCCTTGTTGCTATACTTTAAGAAATTGCTCAGGGGCAGCTAGGTGGCTTGGATAGAGCACCGGTCCTGAAGTCAGGAGGACCTGAGTTCAAATCCAGCCTCAGACCAAACACTTGACACTTACTAGCTGTGTGACCCCGGGCAAGTCACTTAACCCCAACTGCCTTATTAAAAAAAAAAATTGCTCAATTTAAGAAACTGCTCAGGGGCATTTTGGAGCCGAAGTCATGAGTTACTGAATATTCACATGCCTAGAATTATGACTTCATGGCTGAAGGTATTAAAAAATGATGAATAGATGAATTTACCCTGCATTTTTCTATGGAAAATGGTCTAGTCAACAACCTAGCGAGATTAAACTGCCTAGTAAATCCTCCTGGATGCATCAATTTACTTTACTAATCATCTGATGCCTGGAGCACTTAAGTCTAGTTCCTGGTTAACAAATCTAAATTGAGAGATTATATGGTTAATCCTTGCATCATACAGTTTAACTCTCACAATAGCTGTAACTAGTTCAAACTTTCTTTGGTCACGGGGTTGTGGAAAAACTTCCCTTTAAGTAAAGACAAACCAAAAAATAAAATGTCTCATAGACTCATGTCTCAAGAACCAAATGTCTTTTAAGACTCATATAAGGGAAGGAAGGAAGGAAGGAAGCGAGAGAAGGAGAGAAGAAAGGAGGGAAGGAAGGATGAATAGAGGAAGGGAGAGAGAAAAGAAGGGAGAGGGAAGAAAAGCAGGGAGAGAGGAAGGGAAGACAGGAGGAGAAAGAAGGAAGAGATCAATTTTGGAGAGGAGTGATAGCATTGTATATTAAGAAGATCTACACACATGAAGAAATATAGGATGGAGGGTACTTCCAATAAGGAAGACAAGATAGAGTTGTCTAAAGAGACCAATATGGATGCACAGGGGTTTTTATCAAACTTAGATTTTTAAAAGACATGTACAGAAGATGGAAACAAGGGCAAATAAGAGAGGGTGGCAAAATAAAAGTGTGGTATGTTCCTGTACAAAGAGCATCCATGCTAAAGCTCAGAATGAGCTGGAGCAGGTGAAGACTGCTAAGGATAACCAAAAAAGGGGGGGGGGGAGATATAGTTCTTAGAAACTATATTTCATAAAAACAGGAGGATCAAAAAAAGAACTGCTTTGGGTAAATGGAACAATGGTTCCTGACAATGGAGACGTGACAAAATGATTCAACTCTCATTTTGTCTCTCTTTTTACTGACAAGAAACTCCTCTGAGGGTGAGTCATCCTGATTAGCACCTGAGTGACTGTATGGACCCAATGGGCAACTCATTAATGTCAACCTTAAAGGAAATCTCTAGTGGAATACCCTAGAGATATACGTCTGGTCTTGTATTATTTAAACATTTTTGTCAATGACTTGGATAAAGGTGCTTATTAAATTTGCAGGCAACCCAAAGCTAGGAGGCTAACATTATATGACAGAAACAGGATCCCCACCTCACCCCATTCCACATCTCAACAGCCTAGAACACTGGGTTGAACCTAATAAGATGAAACTCAATGGGGACAAATGTAAATCAACTTCACAAATACATGATGCAAGATATATCACACACTAGATAAGAGTCTACCTGAAAAAGACATTGAGTGGACTGCAAATTAAGAGTGAATAGTGAGATATGGCAACCAAAAGACTTAATACAACATTAGACCACATTAAGATACCTATCAGCACAGTGGGTAGAGAGAGGATTGTGTGGTTGGAAGACCTGACTACAAATCTGGCCTCAGAAACTTACTTAGATGTGTGACCCTGAGTAAGTCATTTAATCAAAGCTTTCTAATTTGTAAAATAGGGGTAATACCAGGATCTATTTCACACAACTGTTTTAAGGATCAATAATATATGTAAAGCACTTTGTAAGCCTGCGTAATGCTTTGTAAGCCTTTGTAATGCTTTGTGCATGAAGGTAGTAAGAGTAATAATGGTAGTAGTAGTACTACTACTAGTAGTAATGGTTGCCATTGTTGTTTTAGGACTAGATGTGACAGTCCCCCTATACTATGTTCTAGTTAGACCATAAAAGAGTATTGTGTTCAGTTTTAAGAAGGACATGATGTTCTCAAGAGCATCCACACAATGGCAACCAGAACAGCGAAGGGCTTTGAGTTTGTGAACTGTAAGGATTGGTTGGAGGAACTTTGGGGATACCTAGTTTGGAGAAGAGAAGACTTGGAAGGATATGATAGCTCTCTTCAAGTACCTGAAGGGGGATCATGGTGAAGAAATAGCTTCAAAAGGGAAGATATGTAAGGTGGATGTGACAATTAGAGCCATACAAAGTTAGAATAAGCTACCTTGGGAGGAAACAGGTTCAAGTAAAGCCTGAAGGACCATTTGCAGAAGGTTCAGATTGGCCCCACTGGCCTCTGAATTCTCTTTCAAACCTGAGATTCTGTGCTTGGGATTCTATGATAAAAGAAAGGTGACCATACAAGTACTGGAAAATTCTAAGTGAAAGTACTACTCTCCCCACTCCTAAAGAAAACCAAAATCTAGAGGAAAGCAATACTATTTCTAAATCTTCATTAGGCTGACTCAAAAGCTTTAATTATTCTACAGACCTCTCAGCATTTACAATTCTAATTAGCTACTGTCAACTATTCATTATCTTTACTACTGGATGGGGTTCAGGGTAATAGCTGGTATTCCTAAAACAGAGAGTTTTTGTCATTTAAATGCAAAACGTAGTAATAGCAATATTGTTTTAAGAACGACTTTGAGTGAATAAGTTATTTTGACTATTTTTAAATACTCAAATTAGCTACAAAGGGCATATGAAGAAAGACAGCTTTCAGAGAAAGAACGATAAATAGAAGAATGTATAGAATAATTTTACATATATATGTGGGTATAATAATAGCCATCTCTAGGGCAGGGTGGGGGGAGGGTAGAAAAAAATTTACATGCTAATTTTGTTGTATATTTGAAAGGAATAGCAAATTGTACCTAACAGATTTGGAGTTTCAGGTACAATCATCTTTTTTTATTGTACTGTGTTATAGAAATGCTTATTTTATTCCATAAATACATATTAATGTAATACTAAACATATAATAATGAAACAAAATAAAAGGGGAGCTCACAATATAAAGGGGGACAAACACGAAAACAAGATATATACCAGAAAATTTGAAGATAATCTCAAAAGAAAGGATTCTATGCAAAGTGCTTCAAAATGTCAGTATTAATAATAATTAATAGTTGTTAATAAACTACATTATTTACTAGTCATTTCATCTACTTTATATTTATTATTTTATTAAATAAGTTTAAAAGTAACTAATCAATAATTTACTAAATTACTGATGATTTCATATATTGTGTTGTATTATAAAATATTACTTTATTAATTCCATATAAATTATATGTACTAGATAAACTATATAAACACACACATATACATACTGTCAGCAAAAGTTATCAATAACTAGCAGCCATATGGCACAAAGCCGCATGTGTCAGAGCAGAGATTTTGAACCCAGGTCTTCCTGATTCCACGTCCAGTACAGGGTCATGCTCCCTCTCCCTAATATAAAAATTGTGCCATGGATAAACCACAATATAATCAAGAAATGCCCATAGAGAGGTGACATTGTCAGGCAGGACATCATGGTGTTATGAAAAAAGCAATGGACACTGAAAAAGAAAGGTTCTGAGCCCTAGCTCTCTAACTTAGTAGCTACATGACCTTGGATTTAAACTCTCTCTGGCCCTCAGTTTTCTCATCTGTAAAGAAAGGAATTACCATATTTGCCCTAGCTACCTCACTGGTTCATTTCAATGACTAACTAAATTAGATAATACTGATGGGGTGTGGCCCAAGCCAAGATCTTTGCCCCTTGCCCAAAGGGAATCTGGCTCCCATTTGTCTACAAGCCCCAGCCCCTCATCTCCCTTTGAAAGCCCTGGCCCCACCTTTTTGATCTCATTCTTTCAGTTCCTTCATTATCTATTCCCATTGTCTATTCAATCTCTTAGACATTCCAATCTCCGGGAATTCTCACCCAGACCCTTTTCCCAGACCCTTCCCTGGTTACCCCAAGTATATAAGATCTACCCTGGCCCTCATTCGGGCTGAGAACCTCATGCCCAAAAGGCTGACACTTCTCATGCCCACTTGTTCTTACGGGAGTCACCTGGCCTAAGTGATTTATCATTAATAAATTTTTCCTCTGACTGAAGGTGATTTGAGTTGAATTCTTTCAGACAGGGCCCAGTACTGCCATCCTGCACTTCCAACAGCACCCCAAAGTCCTAGACCTCTTCAATACCAGGTGTCCCAAAACTTTTGGGA